ATTAACTCTGTCCAGAAGCTGATCACAGAATTGCACTAGAATACCATAAATTTCTAGAGGGGTATTATGTTTACAAATCTCTCATTCGCTGGTGGAAATTGACTATAGAGTAGCACTGGAGTACCTTGAAATTCCTAGATATAATACTTTAATCAAATCTAGGAATAATCAAACCCACAAATTTGTAAGGCTGACTGTACTTTTGCTTTAGCATGGTTCTATCTACTCTTTTTCTTGTGGACAACTTTTGATCTTCTCCTTCAGTCCGTAGGCAGACACAGGTCCCATCTACACATACTGTAAAATCCAGAATGATGTGGGTTATAAGTGGGAAATCGTTAGAAAACACACACCCTTAATGCGTGCATCCACATAGAAAACATGTAATTAATTCAAAAAGTCAGGAGAAAGTCTGAAATTGGCCATAAAATATGTTGCATTTGTTCAGCGTATGGACACTGCAGAGTAGAAGTTTGGGAGAAAAATGCTCAGCACTAAAGTAAACAGTGCCACCTCTAGAAATTCAGATAAAGGAAGTGAGTATGGCGTGCTATATAAACACCTTTTTGCTCTCCCTCTGAGAAGAAATCACTTTCTCCTTTTCGTTTTTTGAGTTGAAAGATGAGCTCCTATGCTTATTCCCATCCAATGGGCTGGTGCAGTTCAATGCATTTCTCCAAACGGGGTGAGAAAAAAATAATATTGGATTGATTCAGCACAAGGGAAACATTGCAGACACCACAGGGGCTTTTTCTCATTTTCTGAGAGACTTTCTGGAGTGGAACTGGATTTCTTTAATCCACATTTTGGTCCAGATTATGTGGCTACATAGAAGCATCTACTGATGTGGTCAAGGTACAAGAAAATACCAATGATAGCCTGGGGAATCTATGGTAGAACTTATACCAGGGAATGCTTTAGGAGACCAGGAGACATCTGGTGTCCAATTCTGAGCACCGCAATTTAAGGGAGATATTGACAAGTTGGAATGTGTCCACAAGATGGCAACTAAATTGACCATGGGTCTGGAGAACAAGCTCTATGAGGAGTTGGGTATGTTTAGCTTGCAGAAGAGAAGGTGAGAAGAGACATGATGGCCATGTATAAATATGTGAGGGGAAGTCATAGGGAGGAGGGAGCAGGCTTGTTTTCTGCTGCACTGGAGACTAGGATGCTGAACAATGGCTTCAAACTACAGGAAAGGAGATTCCACCTGAACATTAGGAAGAACATCCGAACTCTGCCCTGGAGTGTGGTGGAGGTACCTTCTTTGGAAGCTTTTAACGCAGAAGCTGGGTGGCCATCTGTTGGGGGTGCTTTGAATGTGATTCTCCTGCTTCTTGGCAGGGGGTTGGACTGCATGGCCCATGAGGTCTATCCAACTCTATGATTCTATGATTTCTCCGCCTCCTTACAATTTGGAGATGCCTCAAAGGAGAAGGGAGAGAGGCATAAAGGACTGATGGCTGATTTTGGTCTTAATCATGTCTCTTCATTCTGGAATAGGACTGAGGTTTGTATAAAGGGTTTTGTACTGCAGTTATTTCCTGCAGGAAAGCAACACTCCAAAAGCAAGCCATGTCCACACCATTCAGTTTCTTCTTCCAGCTCAAATAGGGGTACCTGTAACCCAAAGATCTGAAGCTGACGAGGAGGGCAGGGTTAAAGGAGCCTGGTTTTACTGACTGGAGTTTCTTCACAACACAGTGGTGTGTCTGTTCTAGGAACCAGGAAAACAGGTGTTGGTGAAAGGGCAAGTCATAAAAGAAATGGAGGAAATTGGCATCCGATGTTTATGTGTGGGGTTACGGGAGAAAGGAGGAGGAGTGATTCAGTGGTACGGATTGTATTTTGCCTACAAAAGGTCCCAGGTTCAACCCTCACCTTTTCCAAGAGAAGGGAAACAAACCTACGGGAGGGGGCATTTACAATGTGGAATTAAAGGAATTAGCCACTGCTTTAGAATCCTGGGATTTGCAGTTTGGAGAGGCACTCTTTGGGAGAGAAGGCTACAGCAGTTAAGGTGGTGTCACATTGTATTCATTCTACAGTGTAGATCAGGCATGGGCAAACTTCGGCCCTCCCTCCAAGGGTTTTGGACTCTGACCATTGGCCAAGAGGGGCTGAGGCATCTGGGAATTGAAGTCCAAAACACATGGAAGACCAGAATCTGGGAATCACTGATCTAGAGCAGAATGTCTTAAACTGTTAATGCCTAACCCAAATGTTGGGGTCACAAAAATTTGACAACAGTAAAAGATTTCTGCATGCCACTCATTTGCACAAATTTGTTTTCAACAATGTGCAGTGTTCACAGTGGGCCCTGCAGAAAATGCTTCCCATGTACTCCACTAAAAGGAAAATCAGCCTGGTTGAGCAAGACTTGGAAATATTGGTTAGTTTTCAGCATATACCTAGGGTCAGGCCCGTAGCCAGGATTTCGTTTCGGGGGGGGGGGGGGGGGTTTTTTCAGGGTTTTTTTTGGGGGGGCTGAGTTTTTCGGGGGGGGGCTGAGTCTGAGTGAAAGAGGGTCTGCCTAGCAAACCTTTTGTATCATTACCCCAATACCCCCATGCATATGGGATATATTGAGTATGGTGATCAGATCATGATATGAATAAACATAACAGTTTAAATAATGCACCAGTAAGGCCTTTTCGCAACCACCATGAGAATTTCGGGGGGGGAGCTGAAGCCCCTCAAGCCCCCCCCGCCCCCCCCCCCCCCCGGCTACATGCCTGCCTAGGGTCATATAACAATTTCTTCGGCAAAAAGCGGCCAATAGTAGAAAGGTTCAAGAAGCTCTGATCTAAAGCATCCTTAAAGATGTCTAGGCACTGCAGGAAGGTAACTGCATATAGCATCAAAGTTACCCACTAGTCTTGAAAGTTTGTAGTTTGGGGACTGGAATGAACTGAGTGGAAAAACACAAGAAGCAAAGCGGGGAGGGACCCCCAGTGGTTCAAATAGCCATCTCCCATGAATTATTTCAGAGCCTTGGAGATTCTACCCCAATGTTCAAACCCAGAGGCCATGTCTGAGAAAGTAAAGAAAACCTAATACTAAGCCAATGTATCCAAAATCTGGGATTTAAGTGTGAGGCTCCAGCAAGACCGCAAATGTCTCTCAAAACTCTCAAATTAATATAGTTTCGACACTGCTTTAATTGCACCAGCCCAATGCTATGGAATTCTAAGAGTTGTAGTTGTAGTTTGGGGAGGGGACAATTAGCCCTCTGTGGCAGAAAAGGTGAAAGACCTTGCCAATCTGTTGCTGTATCAAAGTGCATAAACTTTATAGTGTAGATCAGGCCTAGGCAAACTTGGGCCTTCCGGGAGTTTTGGACTTCAACTCCCACAATTCTTAACAGCCTCAGGCACTTTCCTTTTCCCCGTCAACCATTTAAGTGGCTGGGGGGAAAGAGGAAGGGACCTGAGGCTCTTAGGAATTGTAGAAGTCCAAAACACCTGGAGGAAGGGCCCAAGTTTGTCAAGGCCTAGGGTAGATGCAGGCTTAGGTGAACTACAAATCCCAGCAACTACAACTCCCAAATGTTAAGGTCTATTTTTCCACCGGTGTTCACATTTGGGCACATTGAGTATTTGTGCCAAGTTTGGTCCAGATTTATTACTGTTTGAGTCCACAGTGCTCCCTGGATGTAGGTGAACTACAATTCCAAAACTCAAGGCCAGTGCCCACCCCTTCCAGTATTTTCTGTTGGTCATGGGGGTTCTGTGTGCCAAGTTTGATTCAGTTCCATCGTTGGTGGAGTTCAGAATGCTCTGTATTATAAGTGAACTAGAAATCCCAGCAACTATAACTCCCAAATGATGAAATCAATCCCTCCCTGACCCCACCAGTATTCAAATTTGGGCATATCGGGTACTTGTGCATAATGTGGTCCAGTGAATGAAAATACATCCTGCATATCAGATATTACATTACAATTCATAACAGTACATTGCAGTTATGAAGTAGCAATGAAAATAATTTCCTGGTTGGGGGTCACCACAACATAAGGAACTGTATTAAGGGGTCATGGCATTAGGAAGGAGCCCCCTGTGGCGCAGTAGGTTAAACCCTTGTGCCGGCAGGACTGAAGACCAACAGGTTGCAGGGGAGAGCGCGGATGAGCTCCCTCTATCAGCTCCAGCTCCTCATGTGGGGACACCAGAGAAGCCTCCCACAAAGATGGTAAAACATCAAAAACATCCGGGCATCCCATGGACAACGTCCTTGCAGATGGCCAATTCTCTCACACCAGAAGAAACTTGCAGTTTCTCAAGTCACTCCTGACACGACAAAAAAAAAAAATTAGGAAGGAACACTGTTCTAGGAAGACAATCCAGAAGAATTTCAAAGAGATTTTGCTTTTTCCTCCCATTTATACCAACACAGTCAAAATAAATCATACTTTGGCAAGAAAAAAAAGCAAGTCAGGCTAGCAATGTGTGCTCCTGGAGGCTGGTAAGAAAACCCAGCTGGATTTCTCTGCAGTGACGGGCAAGTGACCGAGAGGGAGGGGCCGCCCCTGATTCTTATGAATGAAAGAGCGTCAATGGCGCTCCTGGCCACTGGCACAATTGCATCCTCTTGCGTTGGCAAAATACTCGGGTGGGTTGATGTCTCTCTCCCCACAAGGAGTGGGATGGTTGACTATCCTTTTTGTTTTGACATCTCCCAGCCAAGAAAAGAGGGGTGTGGGGCGAGTTGGCTGGAGCGGCGAAGATCTAGGTTAGGTAACAACAGACCTCCGAGGATGATGCCATCGCGCCTCGGCCAATAGGAAGGCGCCTCAGCCTGTGCCTCTCTTCCCAGCAGGACGCAAGAAAGCCATTCATGATTTGGGTGACGTCATAGTGGAGAAGGGGCGGGGCCGAGTGTGTGGACCACGCCCCCTCGGGCTATAAAAGCCGCCGTCCCCGCAGCGCCGTGCGCGAGCTGGTTGTGTGGCAGCCGAAAGGTTTGGGTCCCCAGAGCGTGCAAAGGGTCGCTTGTTTCCTCTCCTCCGAGTGTTTGTGCGTCTCAGCAGCAGGTGGGGAAGCCAACTTGCCCTCTTTTCTCCTCCTCCTCCGTGCTCAGATACACAAGGACGCCGGTCGGCTCGCTCTTTTGTTCGGACTTCATGTCTGTTTTCTTCCCCATTCACTGGTGAGTAAGGAGAAGGGCTCTGCTACACAAAGGCGGGGTGGGATTGGCAGTGTGAGCACGCTGATCATGTTTTGTTTCAAGGGAGAAGGGTTCGGGGAAAACGAAGGACTCGGTTTAAACTCCTCGGGACTTGGAGGCAAGAGACAAAGGCGGCGAGGCCTTTGAGCGCGTCCACATTGCGAGACGAATGCGGTTTGGCACCGCTTTAGCCGGCTAATGAAATAGTCGGGTTTGTCCTCCGCGCCTCCTTTAGCAGAGAAGGCGACAGACCTTGCAAAACTATTATATGGCCATGTTACAGAAGCATTCTCTCCTGATGTTTCGCCTGCATCTATGGCAAGCATCTTCAGAGGTTGTGAGGGGCCAGTGTCAGTTTTCTGGGCTTTTTGGTCATGTTACAGAAGCATTCTCTCCTGACGTTTCGCCTGCATCTCGGGACGGCATTAGCAAAAGGTTGTGAGCCACCAATGTCAGTTTTCTGGACTGTATGGCCATGTTTTGCAGACGCATTTTCTCCTGACGTTTCGCCTGCATCTAGGACAAGCATCATCAGAGGTTGTGAGGCACCTATGTCAGTTTTCTGGACTGTATGGCCACATTCCAGAAGCATTCTTTCCTGACGTTTCACCTGTATCTAAGGCAGGCATCCTCAGAGGTTGTGGGGTACCAGTGTCAGTTTTCTGGACTGTATGGCCATGTTCCAGAAGCATTCTCTCCTGACGTTTCGCCTGCATCTACTGCAGACATCCTCAAAAGGTTGTGAGGTGCCAGTGTCAGTTTTCCGAACTGTTTGGTCATGTTTCAGAGGCATTCTCTTCTGACATTTTGCCTGCATCTGTGGCAGGCGTTTTCAGAGGTTGTGAGACACCAGTGTCAGTTTTCTGGACTGTATGGCCATGTTTTCCAGAAGCATTCTCTTCTGACGTTTTGCCTACATCAACGGCAGGCATCCTCCAAGGTTGTGAGGTGCCAATATCACCTCACAACCCCAGAGAATTTCAGTCTCTCTACTCAGGAGAGACTGCTTCTGGAAAACATGGTCATACAGTCCGGAAAACTCACAAACAACCCAGTGATTCTGGCCTGTGAAAGCCTTCAACAATACATATCAACTCCCAGCTTCCCACCACATTGAGCCCTGGCAGTTCAAGTGGTATCAACCCACATTCATTCTACAGTGTAGAGAGACTTACTGTAGGATGGTCACCCATCCAAGTCTGAAGGTGAAGCTCAGATGATGTGATCTTGTTGCTTTCCTCCTGTGATGCCAGGAGATGGCAATGGTATAACTATTTTTTCCTTTTTCCTTTTGTGAAGATCTGTGAGTCAGGATGGATGAATGGATCTGCAACCTGGAAAGTTATCCCCCCCCCCCACATTCATTCTACAGTGTAGAGAGACTTACTGTAGGATGGTCACCCATCCAAGTCTGAAGGTGAAGCTCAGATGATGTGATCTTGTTGCTTTCCTCCTGTGATGCCAGGAGATGGCAATGGTATAACTATTTTTTCCTTTTTCCTTTTGTGAAGATCTGTGAGTCAGGATGGATGGATCTGCAACCTGGAAAGTTATTTTCCCCCCTCTGCTCTCCCTCCCTCTCTTTTTCCTAAGGCGATCCAACAGAAGGGAGGGCTTTGCACCCTGCGGGGAAACTTAATCGCTCTCGGAAGTCGGCTGTTGCTGCTGCTGAGCAGCTGCTTCGCTTCAGGACGGCAACAAAAGGCCCCCAGAGATGGGACAACTGCTGTCTCTGCCACTCTCCCTCCCTCCCAAGAAAGACCCCAGACTTGGCCAGGCGGAGGGAGGGAGGCCTGGAAGAGCCTTTGTCTGTGTCCTAGAGAGCATCTACACCAGGCATGGGCCAACTTGGGTTCTCCAGGTGTTTTGGACTTCAACTCCCACCATTCCTAACAGCCTCAGGCCCCTTCCTTTTCCCCCTCAGCCGCTTAAGCTGAAGGAAAGGGCCTGAGGCTGTTAGGAATGGTGGAAGTTGAAGTCCAAAACACCTGGAGGACCCAAGTTGGCCCATGCCTAATTCACACTGTAGAGTTGAGAGGCATTTGTGGTCCTGCTGGAGCCTCACACTTAAATCCCAGAGTTGGGATCCATTGGCTTGGTATTCGGTTGTGTTTACTTTCTCAGAACTGGCCTCTTTGAGTTTGAACATTGTTTCTCCACAGGGCAGAATCTCTGTGAAAAAATATTCACGAGAGATGCCATTTTGAACCACTGGGGGTACTTTTCCGCTCAGTTCATTCCAGTCCCCGAACTACAAGCTTTCAAGGCTAGTTGGTATCTTGGATGCTATGCAGCCAACTTCCTGAAATGCCTAGATGTCTTTCAGGATGCTTTAGATCAGAGCTTCTTGAACTTTTCAACTCTCGTAGGCCCCTTTCTGCCGAAGAAATTTTTATATGACCCTAAGTATATGTATTGTTGAAGGGTCTCATGGCTGGAATCACTGGGTTGCTGTGAGTTTTCCAGGCTGTATGACCATGTTTCAGAAGCATTCTCTCCTGAGGTTTTGCCTGCATCCATGGCAAGCATCCTCAGAGGTTGTGAGATCTGTTGGAAACTAGGAAAATGGGGTTTATATATCTGTGGAGTGTCCAGAGTGGAAGAAAGAACTCTTGTCCGTTTCAGGTAGGTGTGAATGTTTCAATTGGGTACCTTGATTAGGATTTAATAACCATTAAAAGTTTCAAAGTCTGGCTTCTTACTGCCTGGGGAAATTCTTTGTTGGGAGGTGTTTAGCTGGCCCCGATTGTTCCTTGTCTGCAATTCCCCTGTTTTTGAGTGTTGTTCTTCATTAAATGCTAATCAATATTCACACTTATTTCGAGGACATGAGTTCTTTCTCCCATCCTGGACACTCCACGGATATATAAACCCCATTTTCCTAGTTTCCAACAGACCTCACAACCTCTGAGGATACCTGCAAGAGATTCAGGTGCAACATCGGGAGAGAATGCTTCTGGAACATGACTATACAGCCCAGAAAGCTCACAACAACCTAGGTATATGCTTTTTTCGTGTGTGTCAGAAGGGACTTGAGAAACTGTAGGTGTTTCTGGTGTGAGACAATTGGCTGTCTGCAAGTACGTTGCTTAGCGGACGCCCGGATTATTGATGTTTCACCATCCTGTGGGAGGCTTTTCTCATGTTCCCGCATGAGAAGCTAGAGCTCCACAGACGGGAGCTTCTGAGATTTGAACAGCCAACCTGTAGATCAAGGGCAACACAAGGGTTTAACCTGTTGCGCCACTGGGGGCTCCTAGGTATATGCTGAAAACAAATCAGTATTTGCAAGGCTTGCTCAACCAGGCTGGTTTTCCTTTTAGTGGACTACATGGGAAGCATTTTCTGCAGGGTCCACTGCGAACATTGTACATTGTTGCTAACAAATTTGTGTAAATGAGTGGCATGCAGAAATGTTTTACTGTTGCCAAATTTTTGTGACTTCAACATTTGGGGTTGGCACCGACAGTTTAAGAAATTCTGCTCTAGATCAGTGTTTCCCAAACTCTGGTCTTCCATGTGTTTTGGACTTCAACTCCCAGCAGTCTTGGCTGTCTTGGTCAATGGTCAGAGATTCTGGGAACTGAAGTCCAAAACACTTGGATTACTAGAGTTTGAAATAACTGCATTTGATATTTTACAACTTCTTGAATAAAAATTGATTGAACAAGGCAGCATATTTTAAGGTTGGGTGTATACATATAGTCTCAATCCTGGATGCTTTCATAATGAGTATTGCTAGTAGTATAAATACTTATTATTGGCAGGTATTTCTGATGGTCTGTGGTCAGTCCTGCTTGCCAAATTTCAAAATTAGAGTTGTTCACTGTCCAATTTAGCTTAGTGTGTGCCTGTAGGTTGCTTCAAGTTGCCTGTTTTCAGAGGGTTTTCTTAGTTAAGGAATATTCAGAGGTCATTTGCCTCTGAAATATAACCTACGGTGCCTTGTATTTCTTGATTGTTATCCATTCAGGACTTACCTTGCTTATATTCCAAGGGTAAAGGTAAAGGTTTTCCCCTGACATTAAGTCCAGTCGTGTCCGACTCTGGAGGTTGGTGCTCATCTCCAGTTCTAGACCGAAAAGCCAGTATTGTCCATAGACACCTTCAAGGTCATGTGGCCAGCATGACTATATTTCCGCCGGAGCGGTACCTATTGATCTACTCAGATTTGCATGTTTTCAAACTGCTAGGTTGGCAGAAGCTGGGCGTGATAGCAGAAGCTCATGCCGCTCCCCGGATTCGCACCTGCAACCTTTCAGTCGGCACGTTCAGCAGCTCAGCGCTTAACCCACTGAGCCACTGGGGGCTCCAAATTATATTGCAAGACCAGACTTCATCTGGTGCCTTTAGAGTATTTTGGTGAGCCCCCAGTGGTGCATTGGGTTAAACCCTTTTGCTAGCAGAACTGCTGATTGACAGGTTGGCGGTTCAAATCTGGGGAGCAGAGTAAGCTCCAGTCTCAGCTCCAGCTCCCCATGCAGGGACATGAGAGAAGCCTCCTACAAGATGGTAAAACATCAAATATTTGGGTGTCCCCTGGGCAATGTCCTTGCAGATAGCCAATTCCCTTACAGCAGAAGCGACTTGCAGCTTCTCAAGTTGCTCCTGACATGAAAAAAGGATAGTATTTTGGTCTTTTTCACCCTTAAGATTTCATTTTGTTTCTCTTCCCTTCTGGGGTGAATTTGAAAGGGCTGAGTAGATGCTGTTTACTTATCTCTACCCCCTAATCCTGTTGCAAATCAGACCAAATCACACAAGACTTTTGTGACTTGTAGCCAATTATTTGGCTTAATCCATTTCAAAAACTCAGGCAGGTAAGGGGTCACCCAGAATGCTGCCAGAGGCACAGGACAAGGGCACCAATGCCATCAGAGGATGGGCAGAATATTGACAATTCTGGTCCTCTATCTCTGTGCCATCTGCCATTCTTTGAGGAGGTTGATTCAGTCTAAGAATAGAGTCCAGTGGAGAATTCTAAACAACAGGTTTTCTCATTGTTGTTAATACATTTGAAAGCTGTGGAGCAAATTTAGGGGTTGCTATGGCAGAGGGACCACAGAAGTTGGGAGCAAGAGGGAATTAATCTGCCAGTATGTTGACCCAGTCTAATGTATGTAGCAGTAGACTGATCCCACTTTAATGTAGGTCTCCGTGCACAAAACTAGGTTGCTGCAGCAAATAGGTTTACTCAAGGGTACAAAAGCTATTTTTAGGCCTTGTTACTTTGGTCTAGTTAGCAGAGCGGACACTTCTTGAGCAAGGATTTGTTATTTTTAGTTGGTTCTCACCACTCACGTGCCATGTATTCTGTATATAATACAGCTTATTTTCATGGCACAAGTGATTTCCTGTACATGACCTGGTTTATTTTTTCCCTCCAAGATACCTGGCAAGGCTTAACCTTGAAATTGAGTATCACTAGCTCATGAAGTATCAGCGGATAATAGTGGCAGTCAGGTCAGCAAATGTTCAGATGAGAGCCGGTGTTGGTTTAGTGATGAGAATGTTGATCTGGAATTTGGGAAATAAAAAGAGTGGATTGCAAGTAAATTTCAAAAGTCCCATGTTTGGAAATTTAAATGCTATTAGCATACGCTGAAATGCAGAAGTTGCAGGATGGGTATGCAAATCTACTTTTACTTTCACTGTTGCTTCTCCTGGAAACAATGAGTATGAAACTTTTTATTCCCAGCAATGAAATTTCTTTAATAGAAGTTACCAGAAAACAATGAACCGCCCTTAGCACAATAAACCTCAAATCCTTAACTCCTAAAGGAAGGCAAATCAAGTGTGTCCAATAAACTTTGGGGTCAACAGCTCCTGTCAGAACTTGGTGAATATGCTAGCTGGGGGAGTTGTAGTTCTACAAAATAACTTTTCCAGCCCTAGATTTATAAACACTCGCTGTTGAAGATCTTTTAGACCAGGGGTTCTCAACCTTCCTAATGCCGCGACTCCTTAATACAGTTCCTCATGTTGTGGTGACCCCCAACCATAAAATTATTTTCGTTGCTACTTCATAACTGTAACTGTGCTACTGTTATGCATTGTAATGTAAATATCTGATATGCAGGATGTATTTTCATTCACTGGACCAAATTTGGCACAAGTATCCAATATGCCCAAATTAGAATACTGGTGGGGTTGGGGGGGGATTGATTTTGTAATTTGGGAGTTGTAGTTGCTGGGATTTATAGTTCAGATACAATCAAAGGATATTCTGAACTCCACCAATGATGGAATTGAACCAAACCTGGCACACAGAACTCCCATGACCAACAAAAAATACCGGAAGGTTTTGGTGGGCATTTACCTTGAGTTTTGGAGTTGTAGGTTACCTACATCCAGAGAGCACTGTGGACTCGAACAATGTTGGATCTGGACCAAATTCAGCACAGATACTCAATATGCCCAAATGTGAACACTGGTAGAGTTTGGGGAAAATAGACCTTGGCATTTGGGAGTTGTAATTGCTGGGATTTATAGTTCACCTACAGTCCAAGAGCATTCTGAGCCCCACTAATGATGGAATTTGGCCAAACTTCCCACACACAACCCCCATGACCAACAGAAAATACTGTACTTTCTGATGGTCTTTGGCAACCCCTCTGACAACCCCTTGTGACCCCCAGGTTGAGAAAACGCTGTTTTAGGCCCCATCTATTATTCTCTGGAGGAGTTGAGCCTCCGTCTCCATCCTCATCATAGCCCATGCTGATGGGACTTTTACTCCAACACCTTCAGAGGGCAGCAGGTTATGACATGCTGGATGAAGTTTCATTGTCATTTAATGCAAAGGGTGGGCCGTTCGTTAAATAAAAGTTTATCCTGGGTGCAAAGAGTTTGACTCAATTACTGTGATGCCTAAATAGTTTAAAATATTTTTGTATGTGTCCCAACTTATGGTGACACTGTCCCAAGGTTTTCTTGGCAGAGTTTCTTCAGAGGTGGTTGGTTCCTGCCTCCCTCTGAAGCAAAGAAAGTGGGTCTGAGATTCCCAAGGCTACCCAGTATCTTTCCATGGCTGAGCTGGGGATTTAAATACTGCTTTGCCGGAGTACTAATCCAACATTCAAGCCACTATGCCATCTTGGCATCTATCCAAAATAAGGCAATGATGAGATTTTTTTTCCAGAAAGCATAAGCAGTAAGATATAATGTTTGGCCAGCTTGTGACCTCAGGACATTTTCTGCTGCCCACAAGACAGACTCTGGACACCTAAAAAGTGCAGTGGAATTCCCTAAGAATTGCTGAGAATGTCCCATTATTTTTCAAATAAGTAACAGGTTTCCAAAACAACATTTTAAAAGTGTTTTCCCGCTTGTTCCCTTTCCAAACCTTTGGCCACTTCCATCCCGTGTATCTGGCCCCTTGAAGGTCCTGATACAGAAAGCTTGTCACCATGAGCAGTTTTTACCTCTACTGTCAAGACATGGAATGTGATGTCATAATGCTTTCTCACCAGCAACCACATCTCTTAGCAACTTGATGCCCTGATTTTAGAGTGCCTGATGATAGTATCAATTGATGGGACTGCTAGCCTCATGCTCTTTCCCTCTTTTTTTCAGCCCTGATTATTTGAGATCAGCTGACATGACTGAGGTGATGAGTGCTCCATCTATGGATGAGATTGGTTTAAGCCCCCGCAAAGATGGCCTATCCTATCAGGTAAGTTTGCCATCCATCATTTAACACTGTCAGCTGGTTGGGATTAGGTGGTGACCTTTTTGACCCACTGACATATTACCTTGCTCTTAGTATTTAAAACCTTCTGACAAAGATTGGAGTGTTTCCTTGAGCAGAGAAGCTAAGCTAGTTGTCTGACCCTTGGTATGATTACTTGAGAGTAAGACGTGTTGACCTGAATGAGACTTAAGTAAAAATGCAGCAGCCTAGTAAGGACAGAAGTCTTGTTGCATGACATATTAGACAGATTAGTGGAAGGTATTATTATTATTATTATTATTATTATTATTATTATTATTATTATTAAACTTTATTTATGCCCCGCTACCACCTCCCCTCAGAGGCTCAAGGTGGCTAACATGAGGCCAAGCCCAACAGATACAGTAAATAAATGAAATACTTACAGCAAATAATAACTAAAATAAAGTACAAGCAGTAAAAACAATAAAATACAAAGAATAAAAGAAAAATAACAAAGTGGGATAAAACACCAGGTATGAAGTAAAATAAAATTAAGGACAAAGAGTATAAAACAAGGTGGGCTGGGCCAGATGCAAGGATAAAAACAGGGAACATCAGGTGAGATGGGAAAACTGGAGTGATTTATCTGGTTGGAGATACAGGAGGGACAAGCTAAGGGGTTTAATTTCCCACTAGGAATAAGGTGAAGTGCATCAAGAGGACAAGCATATGCTGGGACGGTCAAGGTATGGGGATTGTTGTATGTTTCTAATACTCATGATGGTTTCTTATTTCCAATCATGGAGGCAATATGACTTCATATAGCAATTGCTGAGGGGCATGGTTGTGCTCATAACTTGCTGTAGGGCCAAACATAGAGTTGGTCATTGTACAAATTAGCTAATGTTTGCCTAGGTAGGCTTTTGATGTGATACTTTTCAGTTACTTGTACTTTACAATTAAAGCAGATGGCTGCTTTATTGGGAATGAGTTGGTTTATTTTATCCGCTCACCATTATAGTGGCTAATAATATTGTATCCAAGCAGGAAAAAGGGAAGCTGTTCTGTGTTCATTTCTGTGATTCTCTTATTTATTTTCTTTATTTACCACCTTTCTCACCCTTGGGAGGACTCAAGGCGGTTTACAACATATTAATGGCAAAAATTCAATGCCAACATACAGTATCACAAATAAATCATAATAACTAATTACTACATATAACTTTGACTTAAAATCATTAAAACTATTAAATATAAGACATAAACAAACCTTAAAAATTCAGAAAAAGCATTAAAATCATCCTAGTATAAATATTAAAATCACATAGTAAAAAAAGTCCCAGTTAACAACATATTTTTTTCTTGATATAACTGTAGGTTTAACTTTCTTCTTCAGGTTGATTTTTCCACAATCATGTACAGTCAATTATTCTAATCTCATGCCATTCAGGAATAGACACAGCTAGTTCTTACAGTCAAGAAGTTGTTTCTAATATTTATGTGGAAACTCTTTTCTCGTAATTTGAAACCATTTGTTCATGCTCTAGCCTCTGGAGAAGCATAGTTGGAAAGATTCTCCATGGAAGAATGCAACTGGCAAGCATTAAGTCAGAGCTAAAGCCCTACATGCATATTCAGTTCTGAACATAGGTTTTGAGACTGTGTGTATTCAAAATGTGCGGGTATTTTAGAATAACTAACTGTTCAGGTATCTAAATGATCCCTCAAGGAGTTCAAACTCAGTTGTCCTTGAACACACTTAACTACCACCTCAAGTCACACATGAATATTCTGAAATCATGACAGGATCTCCTCACATTGGACTTAAGACAAATCAGTCTCTTAAGACAAATCAGAGAACATAAGATACTCAGTTCAGTTTCTTTTTATCCCATCAAAGTAGATATTCTAGTTTACCAGTGACAAAAGGCAAATTGTTAGGGGAGCAAATAATGAGCTGAATAAAAATATTGTGTAGTTTCATTGAGTCAACACACAACAACAACTTACTGAAACAAAAATATTGTTGAAATTGTAAGTACTTGAAAACTTGCTTTACTTGTATTATTGCTGTGACAGTGCATCCTTTTAAACTTTTGAGGAGTTAAAATAAAGAACGGTGCTTATTCAAAAACTCCCTGTATCCTTTCAATTCTAATATGCTCGTTACTAATAACTTGTAGTATAAGAAATGAGTTAGCATTCTCTAGACAATTATTTCTCAGACTCCAGTTATTATTGGACTGCAACTTTGAAATTCTGACCCTTGGCCATTTTGTCCCAGGATAGAGAACACTCGGGAGAACATTTTCCATTTCTAGCATCCTTGCAATTTTAACAGAAATGTAAACTTGAGCACTTGTATGGCAGGGGGTTGGATTGGATGGCAAGTGTGGTTTCTTCCAACTCTGATTCTTCTTGATAGGGATTCCTTAACAGGTGGACATCAAAATGTAGTTGAAAATCCAGATATGAACTAACTGTCAACATGTGTGAGGTTAAAATGGCTTTTGGGATTGGACATTGTAGTGCTTGTTGGGATAATTGCCTAGCATCCATCTTGAACAGAAATGTTGAGACTATAGACTTGGAGGATCTCTTTTCTGTTTACAAAAGCCACCAACCAGAAAAAGAAAAAAGAACTGAGTCCTTTCTCCAGGCACACAGTAAGCAACAAGATGAGATCACACATGCATACAAGTCTGTATCTGACTTAAACAGTGAAAACTAACATTTCTAGTTGTCTTGTTGTTCATTTGTTCAGTCGTTTCCGACTCTTCGTCACTTCATGGACCAGCCTACGCCAGAGCTCCCTGTCGGTCGTCACCACCCCCAGCTCCTTCAAAGTCAATCAAGTCACTTCAAGGATACCATCCATCCATCTTGCCCTTGGTCGGCCCCTCTTCCTTTTTCCTTCCATCTTCCCCAGCATAATTGTCTTCTCTAAGTTTTCCTTTCTTCTCATGATGTGGCCAAAGTACTTCATCTTGGCCTCTACTATTCTTCCTTCCAATGAACAGTCAGGATTTACTTCTTGAAGTATGGACTGCTTGGATCTTCTCGCTGTCCAAGGCACTCTCAGAACTGGTTGTCTTGTTTAAACCTAAACTGCTATTGTTAAACAAGACTTTCAGAAACCTAAGAAATTCTCCAGGAACACACCAATAGATCCTGGGGTTCTTTCTACCTTTTGGTGATCCAAGGCTAAGAGAGTATCTTAACTTATTGTAAGAGGAAACAAGTGGAAACTTTTTCAGAGTTGCTGTCTCTTGCCTGCCTGCAGCTGTTCTGATGGTTTGTGGTTCTGCATAAAGAACTAGAGAGGCACGGAGCTTGAATTATGAATCCGCCTGTTGCGCTACAGTGGGGGCAGGTGGGAGGCAGGAGTATTTTTCAAGTCACCTTAAAATGTCTGCATAGAAAAAGCTGACATTGCATAGGTCATTTCCAGATTCTCAGTTTTGGCAGCTGCAAACCACAAAGTGGCTCTTGGATGAAGCACCTGTTATCCTAGGATTTTGCTGTTGTCATCACATTTTGAGAAGTCTGGTGATGCATTTGGCATGCCAGTTACCCAGAGAAAATTTTGGTAAGCATTCAGGTAATGCTGATTCTAATACCTTTTTGGCACTAGGCAAATGCTTGTATTTGTCTAGGTTTTTACAGGTACCTTTTTTTAATAGGTGAGAGATTTATAATTGCTCTGTGCCTTCAAGTCATTTCTGACTTTTATAAGAACTTGGTGAGACAAGTTTTCTTGGCATGATGTGTTCAGTGGGAGTTTGCCTGCTTTTAAGGGTAAAGTTCAGTCCTCCAAATGTTGTAGTTGCCAGACTGCAACTCTCAGCACTCCTAACCATCATGCAGGCGAAAATTTTGAAGGGTGGGGGTGCAAAAAGACACAATGCCTTCATCTTTAATAAAATGGGAAAGAGTTGTTTCTGTGTGATCAAATATTGATGTAGTCCATACATGACTCCCACCATGTCCAAACTTCTGTTATGTTTGGCTACTATTTTGTTTGTTTTTGGTAACACTCATAGATAGTTTTTGTATAATCACAAACTGGTTTGATATTGGGTTATTGTGAGTTTTCTGGGCTGTATGGCCATGTTCTAGAACAGTGGTTCTCAACCTGGGGTCCCCAGATGTTTTTGGCCTTCAACTTCCAGAAATCCTAATAGCTGGTAAACTGGCTGGGATTTCTGGGAGTTGTAGGCCAAAAACATCTGGGGACCCCAGGTTGAGAACCACTGTTCTAGAAGCATTAGCTAATCATCTCCCAACAAAGGATTCTCCAGGAAATAATAAGCCAGACCTTGAAACTGCTGGGCCATTAAATGCTAATCAAGGTGGCCAATTGAAACATTCACATATACTTTGAACAGACAAGAGTTCTCCCACCCTGGACTTTCCACAGATATATAAACCCCATTTTCCTAGTTTCTAACAGACCTCACAACTTCTGAGGATGCCTGTTACAGATGTAGGTGAACCATCAGGAGATAAGGCTTTTGGAACATGGCCATACTGTCTCTAGGCAGTAAGAAGCCAGACTTTGAAACTGCTGGGTCATTAAATGCTAATCAAGGTGGACAGTTGAAACATTCACACCTACCTCAAATGGACAAGAGTTCTTTCTTTCACCCAGGATACTCACAACCTCTGAGGATGCCTCCCACAGATGTAGGTGAATCATCAGGAGGGAATGCTTCTGGAACATGGCCATACAGCCCGGAAAACTCACAACAACCCAGTGATTTCAGCCATGAAAGCCTTTGACAATACATGGTTTAATATTCCACCACTTGTTTCTTAAGGAGCCAGCTACCTTAAATAAAACGACAATAGCTGTTCATGCATATGGTGGTATAGTCAACCTTCTAGATGGTTGATTATTCATTTTAAGGTGAATCTAGAGATTCAACTATCTATGGCTTGAATATATAAAAAGCTTTTGATTTTTTTTCATTTTATGTAATTGACACCTTTTTATTACACCAGCAGACCACTTTTGTACC